CGCGCCTCCCGCGCGTCCCTCGCAAGCGGCAGCCCGAGCCCGAACTCGAGCCCGACGCGCCGCCGCCGCCGCCGCAGCCGGCTCCGTCGTCTCCGCCCTCGCCCGCGACGGCGCTCGTCCTGCAACAGCAGCGACTTCAGTCGGCGGCGCCTGCCAGCAGCGTGGGGCCCGTAAGAGTCTCTTCCTAGTGCCTCCTGTCGTCTCTAGCGACGTTGGCCCACCTCACGCCGCACACGCTCGTCGCAAAGAATCCTTTACAGGCCGACTCCATTGTCTTTCTTCCCACGTTTCCTCCGGTTCAGAAAAACGCTGCTAATCGTTGGAACAAGACAACAATTACCATTTTTTTATGGGGAGGGGTTCTTATCTGTAAACAAAAAAGGTTACTCCCCCCCCCCTCTTCAAGAGGCAATATTGAGCAATTTGACCAGCTTATTTTATTCCCAAGTTTGTTGTACTTTTTCTTCATATTTCAGTTCTCAAATTTGTTTCATAATTATGTTTTGCCAAACAAATTTCAATTTGCATGTTCATGTTGGTTATTATCAGTCAAACATGATTTTTCATAACGTACCTCACTGCACATTGTTATGGTATTGTTATGATGAAGATAATATATGTGAGGGCTCTTTTTCTTGCATTCAAATTCCTTAAAAATTAATAATTAAAACTAAAGTGGTTTTTTTTATCTCTATTTGGTTGTTTTTCTTGGTATCCATTGGTCATAGAGAACTTTCAATTACTTTAGTATTCACAGTACTCTTCATAAGTTATCAAAACTGATATTTTTAAATTAAAATTTGGAATTAGAATTACGGCCATACCAGTCATCTCCAAAACAAATATTAAGAGTAGTACACAATATTCAAAATGCTTTATTACTTTTGTTTTTCAGCCCCTTTTTTCCATTATATGTACCTACGTCTGACTTCTCAAAAGAGCTTTTTTCCCCCCAAAATTTGGTCAAAAATACTGTTGGAGGAAAGAAGGGAAGTCATTTTTAGCATACTTGAATGTGGTAACAAAATTCTGTGCTTTTCTTTTACAATTGGTTATAAAAATCAAATCCATTTGTTCTACAAAATTATCGATTAGTTTTTTTTAGCACACAAGAGTGTGTGACAGTTCTATCGGAGGAGCAGATTGCCTGGAAGTTTAATCAAAACTTCTAAATCTTCTTGAATAGCTTTGTGTGAAATGTTGATTCTTCTGGACTAGCTTTTTGTCTTTGCTGGTTGTTAATTTAGAGTTTACATTTTTAATATTTTGATGCATTTTTTTGTGATATTCATCATTTATCTTTTTCCTCTTACTTATGTCATTTTTTGCAATTAATTTTATTTTGCTCTCTTATGAGATTTTGTTTGCTTGCAGGAAGAGACATCGTTTGACAGAGCTCCTTCAATAGACAGTAAAGCAACAATGTCTGCTTTAACCATGGACCCTGGCTCCCATGACAGGAACATGATGGATCCACCTGATGAAATGATGCGCTCCCATCAGGCAATACAGGAGTCGGTTGCTTCTTCACTCGGCAAGAGACTGTCCATGCATAGCACTATAAATGGAAATGCAATTGGGAGCAGTGATGGGGATATGAATAAACCTTATGGGATGAATCATACAAACAAAGAATCCTCCACTAGTGTATTGCCAAAAAAACGTAAATTTAATCCTTCTATTTTAGAAGAGATTGAGAAGAGTAATGCTGCACAAGTACAATTGCATACACAAACTGCAAATAGCTACAGTCTCCCTGTCAGTACAAATCCTCCGTCCTCCATACAGAGTGTTGTGGTTGCTCCACCACAGTCCACCGCTGTTGATTATTCATTTGTCAGTACTAAGCCTTCGGTGCCAGAAATTCGTGTTCAGCAACATGTAAATCACTTACATTCACATCATCAACGAAGTTCAACATCTGTAGGCACAGTTGTAGATCTAGTGGTGGAAGAACATACTCGGCCACCTGAAAATGTTTCATCGCATGTGGATTCCCATGGGCAGTCCTTGATGCCCATGGATGGCAATAGCCTTGTAAGTGGTTCTAGGAAGCAACTACGAGCAGATATAGAATTAGAAGAGTGGCTGGACCATCGTGTTTTAGCTAAACAAGAAAAAGTTTACCTTCCTGGTATTATTCGCCAAGCTTTACCTTCTGGAGATGTGTGTGTTGAATTTGATTGTCGTGAGGGAGAATTAGTTGTTTTCAAAGATGTTCTAGGATCTGGAAAGTATGATGTAATAGGTGATGCAAGCCCTTCAATGGGACAAGTTATGTTAGGTGCAAGAGTGTGTGTTCGCATAGCAGACTCACCAGTAAACCATCATGCATCTTCAAGAGTATACTTTGAAGGATTTGTCGACAAAATCCTCACAAACCCAGTGCAGTTTGTTGTGAAACTAACCAGTCATCAAAGTGAACCTCACATAGTGAAACGGGCTGATTTGCGCCTTCTTCAGCCACCATGGTGGGATGAACTGGAAGCTTTAGATGTGATTCCTTCGCACATTGTTACCAATAGCACTGCCAATGGGCATACAGGGTATTCAGCTCCAACCATACCAGTGCCTACTCAAACGACCGTTCTTCATTCCCATCAGAGATCCACGCCTCAGGCGTTGCCCCTTCAGGTAAAATGGAAATTCCAATTTATTTATTTAGCACAGCTTAAAACGATTGGTAATGTATTTTGACTAGAAGCTAAAGGACTCGAAAAATTGTTTAGTGATTAGGTAATTTATGGAAAATATATTAAACGTTTGTATGCCAAGCTTTGTTTAATAATTTTATACATACAAATTGAAATATTATGTTCATTTTTGTTTTTGATTCTCTTATGAATAAGCATAATGTCTTCTTTTTTTAATGAGAGATTATTAAAAAATAATGATTCAATAGGTGAGTAAAGTTTGTATAACTAAAGATACTTCATGCATTTCAAGTGTCTAACACAAGGAATAGTTTTGGTATGCTACACTCCATCATTTAATGGTCGTATAAAAATATCTTTTGTTTTAAAAAAATGTAGACAATCTTAATTGATTAGAAAATAAGTGTTTTGAATTTGAAGTACTATATATCTGTCACAGCAGGGTTTTACATTATTTCAAAAGAATGTTCAGAAAGTGAGGCAGTAGATACAAGAGTTGATTTCATATTCCAGGTACCTCATATGGTACCTTCTGTGCAGCCAGGGGAAGCTGGTGGATACTACCGCACCACCAGCACCTCTCCTTTGCTTACTACACCTGTCAGTACTCATTCTGCTAGCACAAATCTTTCTAATGGTGTAGAGAGACCTGGTGTTTATGACAATGCAGATTTTGAAAGCGATGATGATCTTGGAAGAGAAGACATTCTTTTCACATCAGATCCTGGTATGTTTTCCCTACTTTTCTATAATTGATTTAAATGTTTCAATTAATATATTTATGTTTAATTAATGTTCAATTAATTAGTGTTCAATTAATATATTTATGTTTAAAATATTTAAGGAAGAACATTTTAGAGTATGTATTTAAATTCTCAATTCCACCAATTTGAACAATCTTGGTAGAGATTTTATTATTAATCAGGTTACATTTTTTGAAGGTGTGTTGAAGATTTTGATGTTATTTGTTACCTGACCTGCTGTGACTTGTTGTAGATGCAAAATTGTCAGGCAGCAGTAAACGAAGCAGTATGCAGAGTCGTGGGAGCACTTGCAGCTTGGTTGAGCAGCGAAGTATTACACCTCGCTCTCAGCCTGCCACTCCAAGGTATTGAGTTGAGAATGTGTTACTGGCTAGTTTGTTAGAGAAAGGAGGATTAATTGAAGTTAACGAGTTAATCTTGTTTCGCCTGATTCCTAAAACTGTCGTGGTATTAGAGCTTACTACACAATGTAGTATTTTAATTAACACTTACTTGTGGTCTAATATTAATGTATTGATAAATGATTGAAATGTCACATAATTACATAGTAAAATACTTTAAATTGATGAAATTGTATGCTATTGATTAGATTGTAATTTTAGGAGTTATTTGGAGTTGGGATAAACTTGAATAAAATGTTGAATGTTAACTGAAAAATATTGAATGGGTTATTGTTGAACATTAAAAGATTCTTAAATGCGTCTGCTAATTTAATAGTTCTTTTCTCAGGATTGTTACTGAAGTATTAATAATTTTCCAGAGTCACACAACAATTTGATAATAATTGCTAATTCAAGCTCCTTCCCGATCTTGGAAAAGATACCTTTAAGTATCATTTCGAATTTCAGATCTCAAGCAGCCACCCCTCACAAATATAAAAAAGGAGATGTTGTGTCAACTCCTAGTGGAATTCGTAAGAAATTCAATGGCAAACAGTGGCGCAGGCTGTGCTCAAAGGATGGTTGTACAAAGGAATCCCAGAGACGAGGCTACTGCTCTCGACATCTTAATCTCAAAGGAAGTAGTCTACGGGCAGGTCCTGCAAATTTTCCAAGGTAATTATATTATACTTTTTCCCAAAAAATTTATTTTTCTAAATGTATTATTAGTATATTGAACTTACTGAATAATAAATTCTGTTTTAAAGATTTTTACATGTGTACATTTATGCTTAATTGTCACCACCTTTTAATTACTAACAAAAATTATATTTTTAGTCGTGGAAGAGGCAGGGATATTGATGGAGAAGAAACTTCTCGTGATTCAGACACTTCTCCTAATTATGGGGATCGACGTATAACGGGTCGTTTTGATCCTGAAGAAACGGAAGCAGCAAATATGTTAGGTAAGTTTTACATTTTCAGTCTAGTTTTGAAAAGATAAAGTAGTGGGTTGCAGGGGCATCCAGAAGGCAGCTGGGACAACTTGCCCCAGGTCCCCCACATAAGTGAGGCCCCAAAAATTTATTCAAAATGTATTTTCTTTAATACATTTTCTGAAAGAAATATTTAACTGTAGTTGAAATACGATACACTTTACAATATATTAATAATTAATTGTAATAATAATCATAATCATAATCATAATCATAATCATAAAAAAGGGGAGACGTGTTGGAAATAAGGGCCCCCCATGGATCTACTGCCACAGGCCCCATGTTTTCTCTGGGCGCCCCTGGTGGATTGTTTTGGATTTTATATTTTGGTCCTTTCTGACCTGTGTTTTTGACTGTCCTCATTCTGGATGAGTTCTAATTTCAAGCAACATCTGTTGGATACATTACTGGTCTCCTCTATTTTTGCATTGACCCTGCATGTCAATCTAAGTACATAACTTTATCACTAACAATGTGACTCAAGAGCCCTTTTTGAGCTGGAGCTGGATCTGGTTCAGCGGTAGAGTGTGAAGTGACCTCGAGGTTGCATCCCATTACCCCATGGGCACATTGCTGCACAAATCTAACTTCCCTCACATCAGTGGTTCTGAGATTACATACTGGGAACACATGCCATGCCACAACTCAACTAAAGTATTCATGCCTTATGCAAGAACATACAGTCTTCGTGTAATGCGTACTTAGGTGCAGTAACCCAAGCCCCTGCACAGTAGGCGGGTGAAAGATAAGGTAGGGTTGAAAGATACGTTTGGATGAGAAGTAAATTACTTCCTTTCCTGACTATCTTTCTCTCTAATAGAAATTCAAATTGTAGGATTGAATAAAATATATTCACTGTTTGTTCATTATCTGCAATTGTTTTCAGTTTCTTTGGGGAGCTCTCGGTCAGCTACGCCTGCATTTTCTTCTCCAACTGGACAAGCAACTTCACCCTGTGTACTGCAGTCTCCCATAACGGTTGGCCCATATCAGAATGTCTTTATGCCAATCAATAGTCCGGCAGCACCTAGCCAAGTGCCTCTGGCAGCTGCCGCTGCCGCTGCGGCTCGTGCAACAAACCTTGTATCACCCAGTCATAAGTGGAGTAAGCAATCATCTCCTGTTCCTCCACATTTCATGGTTGCACAGTATCAGCCACAATCAGTTGTTAGGTAAGACGTCCAGGCTTGTGCTCCAGTGAAGAATTAGTTTCTAGTGACATTATTTTAGAGATGTATGGAATGTATGAGTTTCAGAAACAAATTAATTTTGTTGGTTTATTTCTACAGACCCAGCCTTTTGCGGCCTGCACAGGTATCTGTGCAAGCTTCTCCTCCCAACTCTGTGACTGGTACAGGAGGTGCTCCACCCATGGTTGTACCTCCTGCAGGAATGCATACTAGTGTTATTCGTATTTCACCAAGTCCAGTAAGAGGCACTTCATTAGCTCCAATTCAGCACCCGGGGGCTGTTCCTCAGCATACAACCTGGAGAGTGGAATGCCCTGTTACCACGTCTTATGCTGACACTATTCCTCCTCCTGCCCCAGCTCCTATCCCTGCATCTGTATCTAATGCATTTCCACCCACGGTCGTCACTTCTGCAGTGCAAGCTCAGCAGAGTATAATTTTACAACAAGCTTTAACTACAGGTCTGCCTTTGGAGAATGAGTGTGTCCCTCATAGAACTTTACTGAAGGCACCTCCATCTGTCCAACCGAGTCTTGCCCTCATGCCTATCACAAAGGTATGTAGAAATATCAAGATTCAATGTGCTACATTGAAATGTCATAATGAAGTGTCATAATGATATCTAATGTAGTGCAAATTTCAGTTTCATGAAATGTTTTCAGGTCCACCCCAAGTTTCCTGTGGGTTATATCTAAAATGATTTCACTTTAGCGAAATGAACTTCGTGTACTGCGTGTAAAGTTTGTCTTTTGGATAGGGTTTTTAACTTGTTTTTCCACAACAATATTAAAATTCATCCTATTTTACAGTAAATATTTTTCTTATTACACTGTTTATAATTACTAAAACAATTCTACCACTAAACACTTTCCACACATGATTGCACTTGGGGTGCCAAGTGCTTTTTCCAATGAGGAGTCATTGGGATGAAGCACAAAGATTTAAAACAACAATTGAACATTATGATTCCATATTTTGTTTGTTTCATTCAGTTTCCAATAGTATTGATTAAAAAGACAGACAGAAAATTGTATATCCAATTTGAAAAATGATATTCCTTTACATAATAAATATTGAGCTTTTTTATTTGTAAGTTAATTTTGTAATGTGGATTGTGCAACAGATATACTGTGATAAATATTCTTAAGAATCAACTTTATTGTAAATAATGAAATTTCACTTCAACAAAATAATTACAAAGGTTCTCACAATTTCCATAAATACGTATTTTACTGTGGTAGTTCTAGGTGTGCAATAGCGAGTACAAAAAGATTCAAAGTCATGGATGCATTTGCCAATCTCATAAGCACATTATCAGTTGTGTCTGAAATGATTTTCTTCTTGCCTGTAGATTTAAAAATGAAATGGTAAAATAGATTATGGCCTTATCACCCTCTTCATTTTTATATTTTTCAAAAATTATTTTTTGCAATGCAGTAAAACTACTGAGGAGAGACTCTTTAATTTCTTTTAGTATTTATATAATTTTCAATATTATAAACTTTACTTAGGGACTAAACTGTAACTAACCTATTCTTTTTATGTCAATTTTGTTGAATTTTTGAGTATTTTACTTTTAATGACAGAAGATCAGCAATTTGATAAATTTTTGCATTCTGAGTGGTTTCTCTTCCAATACAGTTTTATAGATGGGATTTTCTTTTGAATTTTAAGTATTGCCAGGAAAGTTAACTGAAACAAGATAACTTTTTTTTTTTAACCCGATTCTTTTTTATTCTGAATGTAAGAATGAAATTGTCTTGTCAATGGCATCCCCCTTGCTCATTACTTTACGTTAGCACATGAATAGCATTTATAAATCATATAAGATCTTAGCTAGCTTTTTCTTTCTTTTCAGACTGAGCCTGTGGATTGCTCAGCCAATAGCAGTACATTGTATTGTGTTGTACCCCAACAGCAAGACAAGAAATATGTTGTTCTTCCTCCAGTCATAACAGAAGCTGAAACAGATAAATTTCCTGCAACAATCATGCAAGTGAATCATATCCAGCCATCCACAGTACTTGTGGATAAATCATCAGTTGTACAGCAAACCAATAAAGTAAGCGATGAACAATGAAGTAAAGTAAACAATGAAGATACTTTTTTATCTGTTCTTGAATTCATATGCTTATTAATGTATTTATTTATTACCTTTCAGTCTAATTTTATCTCTTGTCTTTTCATCATTTCTTATGTTTACAACATAACATTTGTTTGTTATAGGTGGGGACACATAATGTAGATGTTGGAGTGTCTTCTGCTGAAATAAAGCCAGCACTATCTGAGAGTGAACCTACTAGACACATGTCAGCTGAAATTTCTGTCTCTAATAACTCAGTAGTCCAACATAGTGGACAACCAGTTATTGTTCGTCCTATGCATTTGTTACCTGTATTACCTCCGGTGCAGAAGAAGGTAGAAACTCGTGAGAAGAACGGAGGAGTACTTGGTGAGAATCTTTGTTTTAATATAAGTTTTCATAATTTTCACAATGAATAAATGTGAACTGTTTGAAGGGATATTACATTGTAATTTTATGGGCAATATTTTTCTTAAGTGTATACGCTGGTTCATTTACACAACTATTTTTTGTTTCAGCTGTTAACCCTTCCCAATCTCTCCCTGTATATCCTTGGCAATCTCTGGTTCCTATTCTTACGACAACTTCAAGCAGTCAGTCTCCATTGCCTCCATCTTTGTCACCACCCCTATCTGCTCCTCCAATTACAAATGTACCTGACTCGGGCGGAGGCAGCGATCGTGAGTTGAAGACAAGTGATGATCTAGAAAATCTAGATGGAGAAGGTGTGGATATTATTCCCACTGGTGAGGATGATGATGATGTATTTGAACCAGAGACACCCACAGAAGTGGGACCTTTGATAGAGCCAGTAGCCATCTCAGCTGCCGGCAAACGACGCACCCAGTCGTTAGGTTCCTTGCAGTCCAGCAAAGAACCTCAAAGCCCCCAAAAGGTGTGGTTCTTGATTTGGCTTGCCCAGACCAATTTGATAATGTTGTGATAACCAGATTGACTTAATTGTGGTCATTTTGAGAAATTATTTCTCACATGGGAGATGTATTTAAAAATAGTTGCTTGGAGAAAATAATCTGAAGATAGATTCTGTGCTATAAGGTGTGCTGTTGCAATGTTGCTCTTTTCAAGTTACTGTCATATTTATCTTCTTTCTGTAGGTAAAAGAAAGGGATAGAATTCGACGACCTATGAATGCTTTTATGATATTTAGCAAAAGGCACAGAGCATTAGTGCATCAGCGGCATCCTAACCAGGACAATCGAACGGTTTCTAAAATACTGGGTGAATGGTGGTATGCTCTCGGTCCTGAGGAGAAGCAGAAATATCATGAACTTGCGTCTGAGGTAAAAATGCACTTCTTTTTAGATTAATTGTGAATGGTTGCGTGTAATGTTAGAATTAAAACCTGTTATAGTATTAAACCCAATTAAAGTTATTAATGATTCAAGTTTTATATGGTCACCATAGAGAAACAAGTGTTGTTTTTTATACCTCAAGGCATTAGATAAATAATTCAAAAGTGTTTCATTCCAAAACCTATTTTTATTTTATTTCTACAAATACTTTCCATGAAAGTCTTCGTGAAGATGCAATTTAAATTATTTCAAATGTTTCTTTTGTCTTCAATAAGCAAGTTAGAGTAACGTCAATATGTCAGTTACTACCATGTAACATCTATTTAAGCACCAGTGCTATAAAGAAAAATACAGCACCCACAAGAGTGTGCTAATCAAATATTATTGCATTGTCATAGATAAAATTGTTTAACGTATTCATTCTCCAAAATACAGTTTTCTCCTCCACTTCCATAGAATGAGAAGTAAAAATTAAAAATGTTCAATTGTATAAATCTGCAAAGCATGTTTCCTTATAAAATATGAATGGTTTATTTTGAGTCAGAATGATTCTTCATCTTTAATGGTCTTTCTTAAAGATTCCCTAATGTCTGTGTGAGGAAACCTTTCTCTTGTTTGATTTAATCTTTCTAACTAATTCATTCTAATTTTCTTGGTTGTAATTTCCACTTCACTGTAAATTCAGTTTGAGAAAACACTTGAAATATATACTATATTTTACTAATTTTTGATTCTTTGCAAGCATTACTATTAATGCCATAATTTTTCTTTAAAATTCTCATGCAAAAGTTCAGTGTTAACTTTTGTTTTTAATGAAATTTCATTAACAATAACCTTCAATTAGAATTGACTCACTCATTTTATGAGATGTATTGTGATTGTTTTACTATGAAATCTGTCACAAGTATAATCGATATTTTAGGTAAAGGAAGCTCATTTTAAAGCTCATCCAGATTGGAAGTGGTGCAGCAAAGATCGCCGAAAATCTTCCACTAGTTCAATGAAAGGAGAACCTAGAGGGAAGTTGGGATCTGTTGATGAATCTCCAGATGCAGTACCAACTTCTGGAAGCATGGAGGTGGGATTGCCAAGTCCTGGAGCTGGACTTGCTGGCAGTCAGGTGCCAACCACTGGAGCAAATATCTGTAATGAAAGCTCAGCTAACCAGGGGGAGGTGTGCAACAAAGAAGTAAGTAGTATTATAACCACTTTAAATTTATAATATTGCTATACACTTCTCTGAATCACTGCTAGAATTTAGAATGATGCACATATGACTACTGGTAGTAATGTGGTGGTGATACAATTCTTGCTATGTGAAGTTGAAAAATTCAAAAGTCTCCATGTTAAAATGCTCTTCCTTTGATATGAAGTAGTCTCCATTCTGAAAATGTATTTGGTGTATCATCTGTGAAATCATCAAATCAAATTGATTTTGCAACTTTTCATTTTCATGTAACTACGGAGGAAGTGATGAGAGAAAGCAGAATATTCATTTTCCTTTGAACCATTTCGTGGCTAATACATGGTCAACGTTCGTACAGATTGCGGATCCACAAGGTGCAGCCTCTGAAGTGCCAGTGGCCGAGCCTGAGCAGCCAAGCGGAGGGGAGCGAGGTGCTGCAGGGGCAGGCCATGAGGAGGAGTTTTCGGATGAGGACCAGATGGTGATCTGTGAGGATGCGCCTCCAGAAATTGACCTCAAGTGCAAGGAGAAGGTAACCGAGTCTGACTCAGAGTCGCAGAGTGATATGGAGCCATTGATTGAAAACAAGGCATTCCCACAGCAGAGGTTCAGCCCAGTGTCCGGGATCAAGTCAAGTTCTGGAGATGTCACTTGCCGGCCCAAACCCATAAAAGCAAGGTATGTTTGTTTGATGGTTTTAATGAAACCTTAATTTCTAATATTTTCGGACACACATTATGCAAAAGAATGTGTTAATTCACAAAAATTTGAATCTAAGAATATTTTGTTGACTTTTAATAGGTATGTTGTAGGTTGTGGGAAAATATAGCAATTGGTGGGAACATATAATTGCAATGTTTATGGGGAGTCTGGGATATTAAACAAAACATCATAAAGAACAATATGTTCTCAAGAGTGTGAGCATAAACCCACTACTTTTACCCAAAAAACTGGATTAAAAAAGTGCTTTTTATTTTCACTTTCTTTTCATATAAACTAATTTTCAAACCCTGTTAGTTACAAAATCTACAATGTTTCTAGAGCAGGTGTCTTGGGAAATGTCTTTGAGAAAATGCAATACATTTAATGTATATGATTCAACATACATAACATATTAACAATGTATCTTCATAATTTCTTTTTTGTTTAATATTTCAATCCGAAATGTTGAAAATTGACCCTACTATCCAACTATTCATTTACACAACTGAATATCATTTTGATTTCATCAGACTTGTGTAGTTTGTGAACTTATTTCAAATTGCTATGTACGACCTATCTTGCAAGTTAAAACTAGCAATATTTCTGTGCCTTTGTTACCTGAAAAATTTAGAAAATTTAATAGCAGAGTTGAAGAGAATTTTGTGTTCAGGGGCAAATAAATCTTGTGAAGATTTCACAAGCATGTAACCAATAAAGTTCATGTGTCTATGAAATACAGTTGTCTTTATTTTGTTCTTGCATACAGTTTTACAATCTCTTTGGAGATAGGTCTATATTTAGTGATGTTACACAACCTTTAGCTGCCTTTACTTCTCTACCCAATGCAGTTACAAAACGGTAGATCATTTTCTTATATAGAAAATATAATAAGTTTTAAATTGCAAGAATAAGGAATCAGAGGTAGGGCTATGGAGGGAAGGAAAGGTTATTGTGTAGGTCAGTGAAAATGTGAGACAGTTGAAATAAGTATCTAGTATCCAACAATGTGCTTGGGTGAATTATCTAAAGTTCTTGATAAATATATAACACAAAGTGGAGGTCTTTTTTATTATGACCATAATGACAAGTACATGTACAAGTACATAGGCCCAAACTGATATATACCCAAACTTCTGATATAAAAGAGATGAAATGAGATGAAATGTGCATTTCTGTACATTTAGCTTTTTTGTTTGTGTAGATGAGTAAGCTGATAAAAATGAAAAAAAAAAATGATTTCTGTATCGTAAACAGGAGAGGTTGTACACAAATACATTGAGTTTATTTTAAGTTTCACACTTGATAAACATAAAGGCGTTTGACTTTGCCTTTACATGCGTGCGCACACACAATGACACACACACACTCACACACACACTCTCTCTCACACACACACACACACACACACACACACTCTCTCTCTCTCTCTCTCTCTCACACACACACACACACTCTCTCTCTCTCTCTCACACACACGCACACTCTCTCTCTCACACACACGCACACGCAATAACACACACTCTCTCTCTCTCACACACACACACACACACACAATAACACACACTCTCTCTCACACACACACAATAACACACACTCTCTCACACACACACACACACAATAACACACACACACACACACACTCACACACACACACACACACACACACACACACACACACAATAATACACAATAACACACAATCACTCATTCACTCACATAAAGTGAAGTATTCGAGTTCATATTGCCACTTGCAGTAATTGGCAATTGATTGCTTGAAAACGGCAAAGTTTGCTAAATATTAATACTTGAACAGCACTGCGGGTGTAATGGATGAGACATTTGTTTGTGGAGCCTCTGTGCTCAAGTTTGATTCTCATCTTGGAAAATATTTTTGGGATTGGTAACTCTTTTGCAGATTCAATTCGTATTAAAACATTATATAATGGTTTCAAATAATACAAGAAAGTACATGCTACTGTAGCTCTACTAATTTGTATTATATATTAAATGTGTCTTTTCAACTTTTTTTTAGGTAGTTTTGTGATACGAGGTACAATGTAATGATAAAGTCTAGCTGTTATTTCCAGTTGACCAAATAATGTTACTAATGATTTAAGCACAAACATTTATATCCCAAAATGACTAGTCATGCCCACAAAAATGTTTATTAGAAAGTTCAAAATAAACTTATAAATTAGATTATGTTTAAATGACTTATTCAGAAAGTGATAAGTATTTTAATTGGATGGAGGATTATTTTTGAATGTCAGATCATTATATGTTTGCTGGTATTCAAAGTTAACACTAATTGAACTATGGATTGGATATGTTATCTTTATTGTCGTATTTATTTGAAATATGGAATGATAAGTAGAAGAAATGTACCAGCCTTTGCAAGATACATAATTTGCTTGCAATGCACAACAAAACTTTTTTCTTTTTGTTGAGCATTCACTGCAGACTGAGTGTTTGTGTGCGAGTGTGTTTGTGTGCGAGTGTGTTTGTGTGCGAGTGTGTTTGTGTGCGAGTGTGTTTGTGTGCGAGTGTGTTTGTGTGCGAGTGTGTTTGTGTGCGAGTGTGTTTGTGTGCGAGTGTGTTTGTGTGCGAGGAGTTGGATGATGTGACTTGAGTGTGAAGTTAAAACGTTGCTTAGAGATAATATAATGGTAAACTTTTCTTGTGAAAATGTGTTATATTGAGTCTCTTTTTAATGGATTCAGTTTAGAAATTTTAACTCTGTCTTTCATAAATCTTGTGCTTAATATGCATGTGACAATCAAAATTATGAAATATTTTAAAGTGAGATTAAAGCTAATGAAACTACTTTTATTTCAGATTACCATCTAGTAGTATGGAAGGTACAGGAAAATATCATAATAGTAATGGAGATAAAGCAGGACCTGGTGGTGTTGTTCTATACCCATATCATTCACCAGTTAATCCGATGGGCATAACTGGCTTCCAACCCACTGGAGGGGGTGCTTTTAAATCAATGCCCGTTTCCCCTAAAGTTGTGAAACCAAGCATAGAACAGCAAATGAATAAATCCAATGACAATTCTTCAGAAAGAGTGCTTAATGTCTCTAGCACATGGGGTGGTAGTGTTGTGACTTCAGTTAGTAGTTTTACCACTAAGACTTTGGATACCAAGCCAGCAGCTTTGAACATAGTTACTTCAGCTTCATGCCAGAGCCAAAACATGGAAAATGGACGCCATTGGCCTCGGTCTACAGCTGTGGTCATTTCTCAGACACAGAGAAAACCAGGAACAGTGACTATATACCAGCAACAGACTCCCCAAAGGTTTGAAAACAACGGAATTCATCCAGGAGTCAATGTGCCAATGTCCCAAGGGGCAGTCACGTCAACTTACCAGACACCCCTCACTTTGACATTTTTAACTCCATCAACATTAACTACTCCCACTGCAACTTTGAGTCTTGCAGATTCACACCTTTTACTCAAGACAGAACGCATAAATGTGGAAGTCGAATCACCCGTTGTAAGCCAGCAAACATCAACAGTACCTTCCACAAGTTCTATTCACACTCTCTCATCTGAATCCATGCATTATGTGGTGCCATCAGTAAGTTATTCAGGTATGTGTGTTTACTAATTTCCAGTTTATTATATGGCTAAACTATACTGCTTGAAGAAAAATAATATAGCTATGTTTAATGAAGATACAGAATATGTACCAATGATTTCACAAGCTTTTTAAGTTCAGGTCTTCAATCTCACAATGTTTTTTCCTCCTGCAACTGTATTTCCTCTGTTTTAGGGTGTAGCTTTCTTTGGAGAGAAGGGGGGGGGGATGAATGAAAAAAAAAAAATGTAAATGCTTACCAGTTTGGATTGATTTGAAATAATCATGTAATTTCTTCATTTGTAACTTAAATTTTTTATTGAAAGCTAATAAAAGTAAGAAAGTAAACTAAGAGATATCACCACTACTTCCTCCTGGTCAACAGGAGGCAGTAGTGGTGACACCACTGAAATGAGCCTGACAACTGATCATTATCTTCCCAACCTTCAGCCATTTGAATTCTCAATAGATCCTTCACAAAAGCTGAAACCATGGGAATAATTACATTAAATCTTACATAAATTATTTATTGTTGTGCGGTAAACGTGCTCACAAAAGTTTAAATGAACTGGTTACACAAAACCTTCTTCGCTTACTTATCCACAATTTGACTTGTAGTATTGCCAATTGCGAGCAGATTATATTTGATGTATGGTTTTGTATTCATAATGTTGAAAAATAAGTACAGTCTTTGCAGAAAGCTTTAGGCCTGAATGTACAAAATGCTGAATGCTACAAAATTACTTTGTTCTCAAACTTTATTTGGTATTGCTAGTGAGATGGAATTCTGGCTTCACAGTACCATATACCATATGTCCCCACAGAAATGTTTATTGATACATTTGGAAATTTGCATAATGGGTTTTGCTCTCACTCCTCCGAACCTCTGCTCCGCCCTCTGCTCTCTTTCCTCCGAACACGCTGCCCTCTGGTCTCTTTCCTCCGAACACGCTGCCCTCTGGTCTCACTCCTCCAGTGTACGTCTAGTTCACTAAAAAGTTGCCAACAGCTGGACAAGGAATTGCTATTGTTCACGAAGTCCTTGACTTCTACATCCTCCCATTTCTTGCACACCTAAAAGTGGAAGAGGAAACAATAAGAAGTGGAACCATAAACATTTTACTAATTTTAATTGTTCAAAAAGTTAGTTTCTCGAAGAATCAATGCCAGATCTAGTTTATGCGCAGTTGTTCTAAGTACTAAACTATCGAGACAGCAGTGCTTTGAATGGTTTCTTGGGCCTTCATATCAAAAACCATTTTAATATAATCATTTTGAAGGCACATGTCTGAACACACAGTCCTTATCTACTGGCCATTGTTAAATGTGACATTGGTTTTGCTCAGAGCATGAGATCATCAACCAAAAACCATCAAGATTTTAAAACTTGACTTGGTAGCAAATTAATAATAAACTAAGCAGAGAAGCCTGTTCATGCAGCTATTTTGTGAAAATATTAAACCCAAGATACAATATTCAAAATTGTATCTAAAGTAGGTAACCTAGCATTGCCCATGTACTGATATATCACTATCATATACTGGGCAGGAAAAGGTGTGAATTATCAATGTGCTGTTACAATGGAAGTTACTTTTTAAATCACCACGCCACACCACACCCTGGCTTGCTCCACCCTGCCTTCCACCCTCCACTCTGCCTGCTCTCACTCCTCCAAACACGCTGTCCTCTGCTCTCACCCCTCCAAACACGCTGTCCTCTGCTCTCACCCCTCCAAACACGCTGCCCTCTGCTCTCACCCCCCCAAACACGCTGCCCTCTGCTCTCACTGCTCCAAACATGCTGCCCTCTGCTCTCACTCCTCCAAAGGCGCAGCGCTCTGCTCTTCCTCGTCCTCCAAACTCATCACTTTTACTCTCCCTGCTTCATCCATGCTGCTTGCTGCTCTTTCTGCTAATTTTCCCCATCATACCCCTCTGTAGCCCACCATCTTGGTCTCATCCCTCCCTGGTCACAGCCTCCCCCACTGTCTCACACTCCTAGGTACCAGATGTTTGTAGATAACTGCTCATATGAACTGGCAAAAAAAAAAAGAAGAAAGAAACAATCCTAATACTCATTTAAAATATTTAAGGGGACAGGCCTTGTTTTAATACCTGTAAATATTCATTCTGATGATGAAAATTATTCAGTATTTAGCTAAAATTATACTGAATGACAAAAACAAATCCTTTGAGTAAATATTTCAGGGGATGCTTCCATTTCCCATTACATTGTTATAAATTGCAATACTATTATTTGTAATATTGTTTCTAGATAATAGTCATAACCCTGGTACACAACAGAAGACAGTAGATGTGCCAACAGTAATTGTAAACAAGTCCTATGCAGATTTCACAGGAGGATACAACCCAAATACTGTTCAAAACAGGTAATACTTTCTTAGATTTAAGTAAATTGTTTTCTACCTTCTATAGTTTTATTAAGTTTAGACAATTAACATGATGTAATCATATAGTTTTTGCAAGAAGCTATCATGCTCTTTTATGGAAAGGTCATTGTGTTGGTTTTGGTGGGGGTGATGCTGTTTTGACTTTACACAATGGCATCATATTGCTTTTACATGATGGCATGTTGCTTTTATATGATTTATATCATGATGCTTTCACATTATGGCTACGTGATACTGTGGTCTTTTCAGTGCATACAATTCAAATGAGACTAACAATCAAGCACAACGTCATACCGATAGAAATGATAGTTTGGCAGATCAAAGTAACAACGAGAGGCTTCCTCCTCATACCGGAGCTAATAGTAATTCCCATTATTACACAGGTAAGTGAAAAATACCAAAAAACATTTTTTCTTTGCCTAAAATAGTGAAATGAAATTGGATAATGTACTAAATTCTTATTTACTCCATACTTATAATGTATTTCTTGTTCAGGTGTAATGAACTGCAAAATAGAAGAACAAAATACAGAGAAAGGGAAAAATATTTTGAACATGCCCAATGAGACTGTGACACGATCTACTGAAACCTCAGCTATTTTGAGAGAACATCATTCCAATTCTCTGCCTTCACCATCTGTAACAAGTTTTCATGACAAGGTAAGCAGTTTGTGTAGTCAAATGTTCACTTTGTTGCTTGTTTAATGATTAAACAATGAAATTATAAAGTATAATTTCTCAGTTGAATTGGATATTGGTTCATGTAATTATTTTTCCAAAGTTGTTTTTAACTATTAATAATAAGCAATAGAAAAAATATAAAAATAGAGGCCGTTTTCTTTTCTTGAACTGTAAATGAAAAATTGAGTTCTGTTCTGTAGATTGTTGGGTTAAATTTGAGTTTGGTCACTTCAGAGCATGAAATTATTGTGCAATAAAATCAAATTAAATTGCCTCTTTCTTAACACTCATTCACATGCATGGTGTGGCTACTCCACAAACATTTTTAGTTGTATTCACTAATTTTTTCCAAAAGTCATAGGAGGAAAATGTTTGTTACTATTACTATAGTCATGCAACCATAGTGGTATCTTTCAATATTGTTCTATTTTAAAGCGTGTTATAAGTCAGCGTTTAGTGAACAGTTTTCTGTGGGAAATGTACTTTTTTATTAAAATGAGTTAAAAATAAAGGCATTACAAAAGTGATTTGTCTTTAGATTTCCATAAAAAGGACTTGGTCATGAAGCCAATGGTTGTAGTTGATTTAAAACCTTCCATAAAATATTTTTGCTCTTCTGCCTTTTTTATAATTGAACGGCAAGGTATTATGCTCACTTATCATTGACTTGAAGGCATCATTTTCATTTTTTTGCCTCAAATGATTAGATGTTGGTATCATTTTTAATACTATTCCAGATATGAAAATCCTCCGTGTAATATTGTGGTGTATGTGTAATAAAATAATTTGTAATTGGAAGACTCAATAGATTTTCATTTATAATATTAATTTAAAATGGTAACTATCTGCATTTTTTAAATTTTAGGACTTATAAAAATGTTCTATTTGTAGATATAGAGGAAACTTATTTAAGAAAGAAAGGAAAACAATTGTTTTATATTTTCTTTAATGGAGGACAGGGAGAGGAGATCTCCCTGCTCCCTTCTGAGATAGGTCTCTACAGGTGGACTGCACACACACATATGTGTGATTTGTGAGAACACAGGGGTCCTAATCTTTGATACACATGCTGTAGGATTCCAAGAAGGAAGTGTGTCTCAAACTATTGTAATAAATACCAGAAAGGCTAAATTTGATTATTTCATGGCACGTGACAATTGCAAATACAGTAAAATCAGTCTAAGCCAGGATCTATTGAGATACAAAAATATTCCGATTTAGGTGGGTTTCCGTTATAGGCAAGGTTGTCAATTTTTTGACTCCTGTAATACTGTTATTTCTGCTCTAAAAGAAGTCAATGACATGGCTATTAAAATTATGAAAATACACATCATGTATTTATGGATGAAATCACCAATAAATGAATATTGAACACTCTTCATTGACAGATTCTGAGCTGAAACATTCATTACAAAAAAACACAAAAAGGATACAAAATGTATAAAAATGACAAAAATGACGTAAAGCTCCTGAAAAATGACATAAATATTGCAACAAAAACACATACACACATGCACACACACTTTATTTGCTCAAACTTTACAATAAAATTTTTGGGACATAAGAAATGATGTGATAGATCATCATTCTTTGATAGGTTTAATATGTAAGTCTGTGGATAAGACAAATAGAAATTATTAATTTTCAGATGTCATCTGATGTTAGCTGCAAATCCAGGTCACCACCAAGAAATGAAGGCTTTTCAGTAATAGAAAATTTAAATCAATCACCTCAGAGTAACTCTCAGCCAGAAGAAAATACACCATTTGTTCTTGCCCCAACACCTGCCCAGCTGGGAAGAGCACCTTTGCAAAGAAGACAGTCAATGGGTAAGTATTTTAATATTTCCATTGATTAAATTCAATTTTCCTTTGGCAAAAGAACCTTTCCAAATCCTCCAGCAAAAGAGCCTTTCAATCCAAGTAATGGTTGTGCTGGTGACTGTGGTGATCTTACGTTGTGGCTTTAAATTGTGCATCAGACATGGATGTTTTCTTTTTGTAATTGTGAATTAATTTGACTAACTTTGCTCACTCCCAAATCTCCTGTGTTCAAATAAATAATTTAACATTTTCAGCCAAGAATCAGCTCTTTTTAATTTTTTTCCCCCTTGCATCCTACTTGAGATACAGCTATAGGAGAAGAATAAAATCTTACCAATACATATGGCTAAGACATTTTCTGCAAGGTTGTATAAATACTTTTGTTTCCCTTTTTCTTTTATAGTGTCTGTAATGTCCCTGTCATGCTGGTCATATGAGCAATACACATCTTTCTCAACAATCATAATGCCTGAAAGTGGATAAAATGTAGAATTTTTAATTTTAAAATTAATATATCCTGCACTTTTAAATACATGAATAGCACAGTACACTTTGTATTTCAATTTTTCCTATCATTGTTTTGACTGTACATTGTTGTATACACTGAGGCATTCATTACAAATTTTCAGTGGTTAAAATTGCATGGCAACATTACTGGTTAGTACCACAATGAAGAATAAAAAATACTTTGTATTATCTAAAAATCTCTATATTATTTGCCCTGCTTGATATGGCAGGAGTAGTATCTTGAAGATAAACATATACACTTGCTTGCCCAACATTAGTGTAAATCTTTGTGGCTCTTTGGATAGCTATAATTGGTTTGCTATTACATCATAGACTTTAGTGCAGCATAACTGGGCACTTTCTACCTGAAGCATTTCTTCCCTTTTACTATAGGCAAAGGTCCTGCAAGCTTTTATACTGCAATCATTATCAGGAGAAAACTAGAGCAATACCCTAACAAACGGGCCTTGATTCACACACAATCGTTCCTTCCTCATCCTTGTCTCTTCCCCCTCCCCTCCCTCCCTTCCTTTCATAAGTACCCTCATGTTCACAATACAAGTATAGAGAGCTTGTACTGTTTAGAGTAGTGCCCCACTGGGGGGAGATCCCTGGAGTAACAAAATCCTGCAGGGTGATAATGTAGCTCGGCAAGGGTGGTGTGTATGTGTGGGGGCGTTATGTATATTATAAACAATATATGAATGGTGAGCTTTGTGAATATTGTGCAGAAATGAACAGAGATGCATACAGTAACTTGTGTGACTTGAAATGTTAACTTAGACTTGTTTAACAATTTCTGTGCGAAGATGGCAAAATGATATAAGTCACTTTTTCATAACAGGAGGCACAAAGTGACTTAAGTCACTCTGTGGTTGTTAATGTTTAGAAGTAAGCAAAACATGCATTTCTCTTGTAGACTATGAAAAACCAATGATGACAAATTGCAATAAGACAAAGGCCAAAGAGTAATTTTTCATAACATACTTAAAATAGCTTTCATGGAAAATTTTTAAAAAATGACTTACTGTAAAAGTTTGTTGGCCCAGATTTAAGGTTAGGCTCAAGGACCATCACTCATGTAATTGCATAATAATCATTATTTGTTTTCAGTTTGATTGCCTTTCTGGACTAATACATTTTTACTTTCTCATACACACACACTTTTTTCTTTCTTTTCTTTTCCCTTTCTTTTCTTTTTCTTGTATTTCTTTTCTTCCTTTTTTCCTATTTTTTCTTCTTTTTTCCTCTATTTTTCTTCCTTTCCCCCTATTTTTTCTTCCTTTTCGCCACTATTTTTTTCTTCCTCTTTTTTCTTTTTTCCCTTCCTCTTTTTTCTTTCTTTCCTTCCTCTTTTCTTTTTTTCCTTTTTTCTTCCTTCTCAATATGTTGGTTGGTTCTGCCGTGAACAACACTAGCACCTAAACTATGCGTAGAATATGAGATGCAATTGAAACTACAATTAGCTAAAATATGATAATGTACAAGCAAAATAATATTTTAATTCATTATTCATTTGTTGCTGTTTGTATCAAAACACAAATTTTATTTGGGATTTTTGTGTGTGCAGCTGTGTCATCCAGCGTAATAAGTTCTGTATCGGACAGTATTGTGTCCAGTCAATCTGGTGGAAATACCAGCAATTCTGCAGTCTGTATGGAAGAGGTTCGAGCAGATGGTTCTACCAACACCACCCCACTCGGTCCTCCTTCAGCAACCGTACCTTCATCTCCTTCCACAAAGAAGAGCTTTTTCAAAAAGAATATCGAAGATGGAATGGATCGTGTTCTTGAGACAGTAAATTTCCAGAAAAAGTTTTCTTCACTTCCAGAATTTAATCCACAAGGTTGTCAGTCTCCAAGTGCAATTTCTGTTCCTTCAAGCCCAGGAATGTTTGTCAATAGTTATCGCAAGAAACAACAACGCCCAGGTGATTAAATTTACTATTTTAAAAACATTTTCACGATTCCTCTGAAAATCCTGTTCTAGTATATGTATGTGTTAGTATGTATGAAGGGATAAATTAGTGATATTTAATGATTTAAAATTCTCAAGTCTCTGTATATTCCTTTCCAGAGTGCTACTTTTAAAATTTTATTCATTAATATATGCCTTACAATTGATAAAGACAATAATAGCTGAATATTGAAACAGTCTTTCAGAAGTTAAAGAATATGAGAATACGGTTTAAAATATATTTAAAAACTCTTTATCATTGTAGTATGTTAAACTGTCCTGACTGGTACTTTGTAGACAACTTACATAGGTGGTTAAAAATGCTGTGTTTATAACTTCAAATACATAAATTTGTTTTTTCCATTCGATAAAATTGGGCTTTTTGTTGTTGTTGTTGTTGTTTTTAATGTTTGTCCAACTGTCTGGACAACACTACAACACTAGCACCTAAAACTGACATGATTTTCACCAAAATCGGTATTCCCTAATTGAACCGGTTGAACTAACATTTGAAGCAAATCTTAATTGTTGTGGGTAGTTTACATGAAGCTCATTGCAATATAATATTACCATTACTAATAGTACAAGAAAGTACATACTGTTGTGCCACCACTAATTTATATCATGTAATTTTATTGCAGGTGCTGAAGAAAATCCAGAAGTGGAGTCTGGCTCTGTGACCCAGACTCCTAAATCTACCAACAAACTCATTGGTAACACATTTTTTGGTCCTGACTTCAACCTGGAAGCATATCGAGGTTGGTCTGAGTCGTTTTTTTTCATAGTTTCAGTAGCTATTTAACATCTTTGCTTTGGCAATAGGCAACAACCTTGAAATACTGTTGATACACTCTCAGTTCCACACAATAGGCAATATTCATTGTGCAAGTCGCAACATGAGTTCAAGAAGATCAATTTATCACACTGGATGTAATTCAATTTCATTACTTACCCCCTCTACCTGCATTTCTCCCAGGCATTGTGCAAGAAAAGTTGCATGGATATTAAGAAGATATACTGATAGAATGTTAAATGCTTTTGATGTCATTTCATGAGAGGAAGAGTGAATAATAAATAAATATTATCTTGATCATTAACCTAAGGTTATAATCAAGATAATCTGTCTCGTCTATTAACCTCAGGTTTCACTGCCAAATATTACAGTGAAATGTGAGGTTAATAATGGTTCCTGTGAAAATTAGCCATTATTAGAGATGGATGCTTAATCAAGGAAGGCCCAAATGAGTATTTTCATATTATATGAAATATAGTTTCATTAAAGTTGTGTTAATTACCTGAAGTTAAAAAACACAACTTAAACAAGGAATCTTAAGATCACTTACCTCCTCTCAGCTCATGTCACACACCTTTGATGTGTTGCTGATTCACTGCTATAACTACACAATCGAGAAACGTGTTTGTGGTTATAACTCAAACTAGACTTAAATATACTATTCACATTGTGTAGAAACATAAGAGCAAGGCTGTCAGATAAAAGTTAAGCGAATGGTGTACTGAGTGAGCCCTTGACAATTCCTGTAGAGGGAACCAGAGGTTAGGAAAGTTACTGAGGAAGAAAAGTGAACAGTTATTTAAATGAAGAAACTTGCTCAGATCATGTGTTATGTGAAACTAATTGCAAGATAAGCGACTCCAGATTTCACTTTTCAAAGTAAACTGACAATTTGTCCCGTTTCATGAAATACTGAATCATCAGAAATCTTAACTTCTCTTCCTCCATTCTAAGACATTTCAAAACCTCTAGAAGTGAAATCAGATAAATAAAATAAAAAAAAAAAGTGTGTGACTGCTGGGCATGGTGCCAGACTATTGCTTAAAAGAAGGAATATTTGAACATGCCTTAAGGAAAAATCAATCTGTTTCATGAAAAAATTCTCAATAATAGTAGCGACTGCTTAATCACATTGGCCTTTTGAGTAGGTTTCATTGTAGTTATTTCCTTTAAAAAGAATCGTAATTAACATTCATTTGAAATACATTGTCATGATTGAACTGTTGCACTGATAAGTTAAATTTTTCAAATTAATTTAATACTTTTCATTGTTTTTTAACTTCTCATACAAATTTCTTAAGCACAGCATCCTTAATGTCTGGAAGAAAACAATCCATCCATGGTCCAACTTTGTTGCTTTTTTTTCTCCCAAGTAATTTCAGATTTAAAAGAATATCAAGTGGGAGAAATAAGATGTGAGAAGTAAGAAGTTATTTGTTAAACAAAACACACATAAATATTCATGACAAACTCAACCCACAATACCAGCATTGTCAAAATCTATATAGTTAAATGACTCCTAAACTAAGCATTCTAGGGTCTTAAAACTTGGAATTACTCAACTTTCTCAAGTGTAAAAAGCTTTTGTAATATTTTTGTGACTATCAAAGAAAGCAAACGGCTAACTATCAAGGAAGATTGTATAATTACTTCAAATGTTGTTTTTAAGGTAGCATTTGAGTAGTTCTAAGAACATGTCTCAAATACTGAATAAACGTATATTCAAAGTCTGCTTTAAACATAAATTTAATTGTTCTTTACTTTTATTTATATTTTTATAAGGAATTGGAAGGTACCTTTTTAAATGTTTTAAACAAATAATCACATTTCATTAACCTCTCAATATGGAAAAGGAAAGATAGTGAAGAGGGTGGAATTGGGTGAGGAATGGGAAAGATAGTGAAGAGGGTGTTTATATGAGACAACAAAATGCACGTTTTGTGTTTTTGAGGATTTAAAAGCCTTTATTATTAGTAAAGAGCTTTGAATGTCTATTTTTCAAATGACTTCTAAACTGTTGACATTATTCCAGATTCCATCAGGCAAACATTTTATGTTTCAGAACCTTGTTTTGCTTTTCTTTTCGTTCTATCCTCTCGTCTCCAAGTTTGTCAGAATCTTTCAATCAATCAATCAATTAATCAATCAATAATCTCTTATTTTAAGTGGTGAGGTTCAAGCCATTAGTACTGCTCTTCTGCCTGTCTATGCAAATTTTGCTAAGCTCCTTTCGCCATCTTAGAGAGAGAGAATGAAGATATCATTCGGGCAGTGAAACAGGCACTTCGAATTTAGCTCAGAGGCTTCTTTTAGGCTTGAGGATCGTTTTCATGCAGTTAATCTACATGGGACAACTGGCTTTACTTCCCCTTTAAAGGAAGGTGTACAAATGATCCCCCCTCCCATAGAAATCCTAGACTTTGATCCTGTTTGAATCTGCGAACAGGGAAGCACCAGTCCAATACGCTAACAGTTACACCACCAAACCGGCACATGTACATATTGACACAAAAATCTCTAAATATAAAATATATCTTTGTGAATTCTTAGAGAGTGCTTTTGTTTTATATTGCATCATGCCCACTCTGACGTAAAACAATTTTTCTGTAGTAGGTGGAGAATTGGGAGAAAGCGGAGAAGCCAGTTCCCCACGTACTCCAAAAACTCCTGGTGGCAAAGATTCTGAGAAAGGACACAGGCGTATGCTGGAACAACGCCGTCAACTTGTCATGCAGTTATTTCATGAGCAAGGTTGCTTCTTCCCTTCAACACAAGCCACATCTGCTTTCCAGGTAAAAATGTAAAACGTTCATTGGAACATTTTATCTGTAGTTCATGGAGGTTATATAATTCTTTGTCACTATAGGAAATTCTGTATCTGCTTTAGTAATCATCTGTCTCTCATTTTTGTTGTTTTTTGAAATCATTTATTTTTTGAAATCATTTTTATTTCATTTTTTTTGTATTAAAAGGACACAAAGTATTGACATTAGTATTGACAAATTGTGGCCTCGAAAAGAACAAAGAATTGACAAATTATGGCATTGTTGTTATGTTACTGAAACATAAATTCATTTAAATCATGTAGACCTTTTGATAGAATATAGTATCGCATCGCATTGTATTGTGTCATGTATAACCTCTTATAACATTCATATTGTATCGTATTGCAATCTATTATTGTATGAACACCTTTGCAAAACTGAATTTAATGTTACTGTACTGTCCATTTGTTTTTAGTTTTCAGATCATCTTTTATTATAAATATATCGTAATGAAAAACAAAAGGTAGAGTGAGAAGAAAACAATATTTTTAGGAAAGGCAGAAGTGAAATTCTTAATACAACACAAAAAGACTGACTTGATTTGTCATTTGTGTAAACTTCATTGTATCCTGTTTATTTTGAAATATGTGAAAAAGAATTAAGTGAGGTGTAAAAATCTTCATGATCATGTTTCATTCTGAACATTAGTTGACCAAAATTGGAATTGAGTATATTAAAAAATCACAGAAAATACTGATGTTTTTAGTCATAAACAGCATATTAATGGAAGTTGATTGAAAAGGACTCATATTTTTTTCAGTAAGCATTACTGAAATATAAAAACTAAAGACATTATTTGTAGTAGTGATATAAAATAATATTGCTACTTGTATCCTACTAATGCAGTCATCTCTTAAAAAACCTGGGAGATTGAAATTTGCATGTTTGAAAATCTCTTAGATTTAATAAGTTCATTCAAAATTACTTAGAGTCTAGATGTATTTGGGGGGGGGAATGTATGAGCATTGCTTAAAGATCTAGTTTTGAAGAAAAAGAGTAGCAACCGCAATCTAGTCATAGGAGGTGGGAGGGGGTCGGAAAAAAAAAAAAAAAAAAAAAAAAAAAAAAAAAAAAAAAAAAAAAAAAAAAAAAAGTACAGTGAAAATGTAGATATTTAAATGAATATTGAACCCATGACATGTTTATGCGTTCTTTGTTCTATTCAAACAAAAATTTTAAAGAAAATTGGGAGCCATTTTGGAAAAAAATATTGAATATTGGAGCTTCAGGTAAAGTACTCTCAAAATGATTCATTTGAAAATTGCAGGTCTGCGAGCTCAGTCTTATTAATCAGGGGATATTAATTTTTGTGAAAATTCTATTTATGGTATAGGTGCTAATGTTGTTCACCCTTACAGTATCAGACATGTATTTCCAAATCTTATCAATTTGCTTGCAATATTACATAATGAACTCTACACTTTGTATATGACAAAGTAACTTTGGGAAATCTATTCCTCTTAAGTTATAATACGATTGGGGTGAAAATGAGGGTCTTCCCTTACCACCAAGCTGATGATAATCTTGGTAAATAATCTCTGTAAAATTTTGTTCCAGGCACTCCATAATGATGTGTTTCCCAATAAATCAAGCTTGCAGTTGAAAATTAGGGAAGTGCGACAAAAAGTGATGGCACAGCAGAACAGCCAAACTCCCATGACTCCTAGTAGCATATCCAGTCCCATGGCATCAAGCACTGAATCAGCTGCCACAACTCCAGGTAATTAGTTTGTGGAATTGTAAAGTGATATCAAGTTGCTTTCATGCAATAGGTGTATTGAATTTCTAACCACTGGTTTAGTATCACTTACATCCCAAAAAGATATTTCAGTTCTTTAAAATTGGAGTGCCATTTGTTGCTTATTTATTTGAATAAGTTTTTAGGTATTGTTATTTGCTTTATAATAATGATGTAAAGTGAAAGAAAATGGTTAATCAGTATTAGCGTGAAATATTTATATTATTGCCATTGTTTTTATTATAGAATATTTGCCATTTTTTCATTTGTTACAGGTTCTACTATGACACATACTCCAACAAACCCTGTGTCAATGCCTGCAGCATCAAGCAGCTAGTTTGAAGAGTTGGGGCAGCCCTACCATAATGGGACCAAAAACAGTGAGCAGAACCAGTGCCCTCACTATAGTAAATTGTATGTGATCTTTACATTGTAGAGCAGGAACTATTTAGGATAGATAGGGTGAAAATGTTCTTTAGACATACATTGGGAAACAGAATGGGTATTATTTGGGGCAGTAAGTATCAATGTTGAAAGTGCATTGATTGTACTTGGCTGTGCAAAACTGATGCTGTTCATTGTTTGACAAATTTGGAAAAGCACAACATAGCACATTAGGATTCTTTTTCCAGTATTGTGTGCTTCCAAACATTGTAATGACTGTCCCCTAGAACTGGGAATGTGCAATCGTGTGTCTCACTCTGTTACGAGTGGATTCATTGTGTGAATATTCAGGTGCAACATGTTACTGTGCTGTGCAATATCCTGAATATTGATTGAGATGTGCAGTTTTTATTGAGAATGAATGGGGTGAGACAAACTTCCTCAAGGTGCACAGGTTAGTTTAGAATTGTATAAAGATGGTAAGATATTAACAACTCTCCAGTAGAAAATATTGGTTGTTTAGTATGATATTGTTTCAAGACTGAAGAGATGAGTGTGGTACAGTATTGAGAAAACTTGAATGTGCCAGTACATTTCATCTAAAGTGGTTTTTAATCCCCTTGTACAAATCTATTACCTAGATCATTTCTTAGCCAATAGATTACCAGTAATAGATTGCTAGGTGTCAGTATTGTGATTAAAGTGTGTGTCTTATCTGTATCATTCCATAGCTGTTAGAACTGACTTAAAGGTGTCCTTAAAAGATAAATAATTTTTCATAAATTCAATGATTCAGTAATATTCAGTGATTTCATTTTAGAGTACTTTTTATCTTTTGAAAATAATTTTGAGAAATAAGTTGCATTTCTATCACAAGTGATATAGTTTTGTTACTTAACATGATTCATTATAATAGGAATACTACGAACATACATTCTTTTTTGTAGTATTTCTTAATTTTCTAGTTTTGTATTTGCAAAACTGTTACTCTTTAGTTGAAATGTTGTTTAATTTGAAAATAATTTTTCTGATATCTTATTTATTATAAGAATAAAACTTTCTGTATATTATAAACATAACCACTGGTTAACATGTGTTGAAGGTTCACATGAAGTTTTGTTACAAAATAAAATTTGTCAGCACACGTCCTCTTATTAGTACATCATAAACTTTTTATTTTATTTCTTTAAATTTTATTTCTTATTTTAATATTTGAAATTGAACCTAGTACATCTGGACACTGGTAATCTGGCCATAGTTTCTTTTATATTATTTTAAATTGCCAATTGGATTGTTGTGTTCTCTTGAACTAAATGAAATATTTAATTTGAAAATGATTGATGTTTTTAAGTCATATTTTAGGGTACCTGCTTACAACTTTACTAATCACTTAGTAAAATACTTTATTGTGAATAACTGATCAATTTAAGATCAATTTTTAGTATGTTTGTTTTTAATTTTCTATATCAGTTTTGCAGGACCTTCATATTCTCATGTAAAAATGTAAGCTAGTGAAAAATCCTTTTATATTCTTAAATAGATATATTTGCATTGTTATTTCTAGTACATAAATGTTATATATAAATACTATATATATTGTCGTGAGGATATTGTTGTCTTGTTGGATGTGTATAGTTAAACTTTTTAAAATTTTTTTGTTCATTGTTACAGTAGATTAATTAAAGTGTATTTGTCAACCTTCCCATGTTATCTTGATGGATCTCCACAATTCAAATGAGTCCACATTTTAAAATTGTACTTTATTTTTCAATGTAATATTTTGTAAATTTAACCATATGGTAGATATATGGTAATACTGGCAAATTGATGCCCTGTAAGAAGTGTAGATATATTATTATAATTATTATTATTGAATGGCTATTTTGTAAATTTTAACTAGTTGTTGAAATAATGGAGTTTTTATTGAAGGAGGAACAGTGCAATCTTAGGTACTGCCTGCAATGAGAGTGATTTATATTTATTTAGAAACAAATAGTAGTCCAAAATTATATTTATTGTAATCATAATTGTCATATTTCTGATGGCATTAGAGAGATTTGTCAGTAGGAAACTGATGATATGTCCAAAGTTGTAACTATAGATTGTGTATTCTGCAGCATTGAAATGAAGAGTTCTAAATTTTGACAATGGTAATGCTCGTTGCCTACCAATTTTTTATGAAATGTTGGACTTTTTAAAAAAGAATGTTTGTTGCAAAAGGTGTGTATTAGAAAATAATTATTTCTCTGAATAGATGCTATCTACATTGGCATGTTACAGTTTTCTATTGACCTTTTATTATAATTATTATTATTATCATAATAGTGTGCAATCAGATGAAATGGACAATCTTTAGTACTCTTAAATAGTTTGAATTGCAAGCCAACAATAGTGTATTTTTGAAATAAACACAGATCATTGATTGGAAGTAATGAATTAGCACTCCTTGTAGTAGAATATAAATAATGCACGCCCAAAATATGTTGCACAAAAAAATCTTTGCTGGGCCTCATCTAATAATTACATTTTTTATCTAGTAATTACATAATAATAAAAACGTGTAATCTTTGCACGATCATGTGATCAATTATGTTGTAGAAATATTCAGATTATTTTGGAAGTGATGTAAAGGTATTATTTATCTTCTGCAGTTCATTTGTGTTCATTGTGAGCATATGTGGTGATTCTACTTATAGGTCTGAAAGGAATTTTGAAAAATGAAATCAATATATTTATTCTATGATATTAATACAAGTGAAGAAACAATTAATTTCAGCTATTATTGGCCTACTTTTTCAGCATATTTGGAACACTTTGATATTCATATACACTGAAATTAAATTACGTGGGGCAAAAGAATCGAAAATTCGTTGATGTAAAGAGTTATAACAAGTATTTATAAATATACAATATTATTATTGAAATGTGTATCAGTCCATTGTATTTATATGCCTGTCTTGCTCAGATAGGCAATATTCCAACACGTCTCTGCTTTGGAAATGGTTGTGAAAGAGATATTGTCATTCCAAGGATTCATAGTATGTCTGTTTGTTTGTGCCATGGATGAACATATACACAGAGGTAGGTAAATATGTGTGCATATTGCAAAATGTTGGATTATCCTGTGGCTTCCCTATTTCATATATGTTTTATTAAAAAATCACAAAGGGAATTTCACATTAAGTTTTAAGAACTTCATTTGAATAATGCATCAAATAGGGAGCCTGGAAGTATCATATTGTATTCCCAGAAGACACACCTTCATATACTGTTATGTATCCTTAATTGGATCAGCTGGGGTGAGAAAAAACACTTTGAATGATAAAAAAATTGAAATACGTTTTTGACCATTTGTAAATAACCAGGCTCTCTAATTGTAATAAAAAGGTTAGTGTTTCAAAAGGAAGGTGCCAATAGTGTCCAACACACTTTTTAAAATTTAAGGTTATGAAATTGCTGCAAGAAAATAGAATCGATACTTTCCTTGATCCAGTAAAGCAGTGTTGAATTTGTATCAATTATTTTCAAATCTTGTGCATTGGCCACAACTGTTGACTAGTCAGATTACAAAGTTCAATGTTTTAAGACTGGGAGAAAATGGGATTAATGTAAAAGCTACTATCACCGTAACGGTAAAGTAAGATTTTGATTGTGAAGTTAATGGTGAGGGAGAGGGGAATGAAACAGTTGAGCATTGATTTATAAGATTTCAATAAAGTACATAATCTTAACTTTTGTCGAATTTTAATTAATAGCTGGCATTGGCCTTCACCACCTAAAACAGGGGGGGGGGGAGACTATATTTCTAGACCCCCCTTTACCATTGAACTTTTTTATATTGCATATGACATTTTCTAGTAAATAAATAAAATATGCTACAAAGAGAATTATATTATTAATGATTACTTTCAATAAATACAAATGTTTTTCTGTTGAATTATGTACCAGGTTGTCAGACCTGGAGCTTCTTCCCCAAATGTGTAGCAAATTCCCTAATTTACAGGGTTTGACAAATTAATTTCAATTATTGTAATTCTAGGTTTATTATAATTTTTTAAAAATATTGTTACTTATACATTTAATAGTGATTGCTAATGACCCCATCTGTTTTTAGTGACCTAAATTTTAAAGAAAAAAAAATTGAAAATGGCTAATTGTCATTTTAAGAAAGGGGAAATGAAGGATTAAAAATATTTACAGAAATAAAATATTTTATCACTTATGAATATGGAGCCCCTTTGAAAATGATCAGGGGAGGGCCATGGCCCTCAGGACTCCCTCTTCTGGGCATGGTAGCTGGCCTTTCGAGAGTAGCCAGACTAGGATGAAAATATAGTCATAGTAACAATGGATTACAATTAGATCAAATTTGGTTTAAAAAAAAATGAAATTTTTCCTTGTTACAATGCAAGAAGTGTGACGTCAGAGGGAAATTTTTCAGTTGAATTATAAAAATGTACCTGTCTCCATTTTATTGCTTTTAAAATGTGTGTGCAGTAGATGTATTAAGATTAAGATGTCAGGTAAGTTTTACAGATTCTTAAATTGCAGACTCCAACTCATCATGGTGCCTGTGGAGTGGAAAAAAACAAAAAATTTGTTTATTCATGTGTGTCTTTTTTTTATGGAGGGTAGGTGCAAATCTTCAAAAGATTCTGGGTAGTCCATTCTACCCACTGTGTGAGATTTTTACACAGTAAAACCAAACCTTCCACCCTCCCCATAGAACCTCCTTTAGGGATAACATCAGGGAAAGTGAAATAGTGACATTATGTTAGTCAAGTAAAGGATCCTGAGATGTCCCTCCTTTCTTTCTCTGGGCTTCTTAATTCCAGCAATGTTTACTGTCCAAAATTTCACGCATACTTCCAACTGCTTTCAGAACCAAGAATACATGTAACTAAGTTTTCTGGAGTCATCTGGCTTACACCAAATATCTCATTAGCGGGAGCGGAATGAGGGACATTCCCCTCCCAAAATTTTTCACTAACTATTAATTTTAACTTTACACGAAACTCAAAAATATTTTCGTGTTAACATTAAAACGCATAAAATTGAATCACAACATACGCTGAGTTGAGCTTGCGTAATTCTTCATAATCTAATATGACACATTCGATCAAAATATTTTGAATAAAGTCCCCCTCCAAAAAAAAAATAGTGTCTGAATCCGCCCGTGCTCACTGGTGGCTCGTCTTTGGGGTGGGCATAGAAAAAACGTGTTCGGCGTCGTCGCCAACACGTTCGCACACAGCTCAGTGAGAGGTATCATCCAAATTGAACCTGCGAGGGTAAGCTCTGAAGCATCCATATCCCGTCAGAAGCCGAGTGAGATAATTTACCCCGCCGTGTTTTCGACTGATCTATGGTTCAATTGTAGGAATCGTCGGTAGGTCCATCTTCTCTTGAAAAGTGTCCCATCACTGTTGCCATTCTGCTAGTTGTTCTAAGCAGTTTTGCATCTCTTTTGTCATTGGCATTGTTCAAGTATCTCTATAGGACAAGCGCGTGTCGATCATGATGTCGAGGAATTTTATTGTAGGACGTGATGGAATTTTGTGATGACCGACTTGGAGAGAGGGGTCTGCGAAGCCAATGTTCCTTCTGGGAGTGGGGGTCTTAGAAACTCATCTTACATGATATTGTGGCATTGGACCCAGCACCGAACCATGGGGGACGCCAGCAATGATGTGTCCCTTCGGTTCGAATAGCGAATTGTGGACGTGGAACAGCGAAAAAGAGAAGACGACATGGGAATCACGAAAGATGAACGACAATGAAAAATGTACGATGAATAAGGAAAGACGAGGAACGAACGACGAGCTTAGGTGAACAGTGTTTAATTCGAAAATCAACCGACAATTATCCCTGTCATTAATTCAAAATTTCGTTGGCTTTATGTATTGGAATTAATTAAGAACTTGGGCCGCCAACGAGCCAAATAAACTTAGTACGTTTGCTAGAAACTGATACGCATAAAAACTTTCTCAGTTTCAGAAAGCTATTAATCTACCGGCGTGCTATGAGCCGATTCGGCAGAAAGCAGGCTTCAGAATAACCGTGTTAAGGCGGCTCCACACATTCGACATTCGGTATAGAGCCGCATGCAGGCCAAACAGTGCTGCAAGCAATTCTTATAACCTAGAAAACTTTTTTATAATTTATTTATTACAAGGCGTTCACTGTCAATTGTGACACTAAATAAACATGTAACAAATAGTCTTGCAGAAATTAGTTTACAAAGATTCAAAATAGTTTAGTTTGACACTCTCCCTTTCCTGAAAGAGCCTTCAAAACACATTTAATGCAAAAGTAATGAGTTTAAACATTTATCAATTTCTCAAAGAATCCCAAGTGTTAAATATTGACTCAAACATCCAACTTAGTTAAAAAATCACAACATTCAAATATTAGAACAATCACATAAATCTTTGGACACTTCACATATTTAGAAATTATATACTTTTTATAGCCCTTTTACATGTTCATTCTGCACATTGTGCTTTCTGACAACTGAATAGCAATTTCAAAAACGCGTCGTTAAAAGCATTGGCACACACGTATAATGAATCTTTAATTATGCATCAAATCTTTACCAATTACACAAGGCAACTTTCCAAAACAGTTTAATTATGTAAATATTTTTATCTTGCATTGATTACCAATGATAGCGATATAACGTTGAACCTGCCCAGTGCGGACACTTGACGCTTAAATATGAGGGGCAACCAGAAAACGTTTATCACTGTCAAGCAAAAATTCCAGAACTATTAATGATTAAGTTATTACATAATTTTCCTTGACATAACTGTATTTCTCTTGTTTACAAACTTGGTAACTTCAAAAAGGGGTGCAACATGCAAAATGCCCAAAATTCATCAAATTAACTGACGCACAGAAACTTTTAAACCTTGGAACCAGTGGCATAGCTTTCGGGCCCGCAATGCGGGCGTGTCCAAGTGAAAGAGGGCCTATTTTTAGGTTGAAGATTTTGTGATTGTAAGAATTGCGAACGTAAGGTTTTGTGACAATTGTCTGTGTAGTAATTACACTGATGAATATGAATTTGTTAAAGGATATATTTTGTTATTTAAAGTACTAACACTACTTGTGTTTGCTATACATTTTTATGAACGGGGGTCGGATAAACGTTTTGCGGTTGGGCCCGGACTCATTTCGTTATGCTACTGCTAGGAACAAATCAATGGTCTTCGTAAGCATTGCAGTCCACTAAATAAGATACTTAAGCTTCCTAACTAAGATTTGATACCATACATTAAATAACATTTTAACAGATTGAAGCTACAATCAGAAGCTTCGTAACCACTTTAACTTTACGGTCACTGATGAGGTTGGAAAACTCTCGTTTCAATATAAGATGCCCTTTAAGCTATTTCGAGAAAAGACGAAAAGCTAGACCACAGCTGGGAGCGAAAATGCTTACAGAGTTGACAAACCAGCTTACATTCAGGTACATAAAATACTATGGAAGCGCCTGTTACTATAACCCCGTTTTATTTAGAGCTGCCTCTGACCTAAATCGGCTATTACGGTGTCATCCAATCGGAAGGTTGAACGTCACCATAGTGACGTCACTGTTGTGATGTGTAAGCTCCCGATAAGATGACACCGTAACAGTTGATTACCGATCAGAAGTAGCTGTACATAAATCACAATACATTTGGCGGACCCGGCTCGAGGACGGAAAAGCTTTGGCGAGGCAGCGGACTCCTTTCTCGCTCTGAGCAAAGTTGAACTGTACTTGGATTTAAACATGGCTTCAGTTGACGATACTTAGCTGTTAGTGTGTCATGCAATCGGGAGGTTGAACGTCACCATAGTGACATCACTGTAGTGATGTTTAAGCTCCCGATTAGTTGAGACCGTAACAGTAAATCTAACTATTAGTCGGCAAGCAGGCATACTATTTTTCCAAATTTATCTCCCAATTTCTCTACTTGGGCACCGTTTTATTTTACGTCTGCATACGTTATTTTAGAAAACAAAGACAAAATTACTTTGTTCCCAAACTTTGTTTGAGCCAAATTCCTGATTTAGGAACCGTTTTGTTTCGCGTCTATCTCCGAAACTAGTTGTTGGATTGGAGACTTGTTTTCTCCATTCAACTTTTTGTAAATTGTTCTTCCTACGTACGCGATTTCAGAAAGAAGCGAAAAAATTAATTTTATTCGGAAATTTGCAGCATATTTCCTGACTTACCGTTTTATTTCGGGTCTATCTCCGAAACTAATAGTCGAAGTGGTCTGGTTCGCCCCGTTCAATTTCTCGAAATGTGTTCTATCTGTATATGTGATTTCAGAAAGAAGCAATAAAAATATTTTTTCCCAAAATTTTCAGCCTAATTCCCAACTTAGGCACCGTTTTGCTTCGCGTCTATCTCCGAAACTAGTGTGACGTCATGGATACGCACAGTGAACCCAGATACAGAGCTTTCATATAACAAATATTTATTTACAAAGAAAACACAACAAATATTTACAATGAATTTGAACTTTACACCCTAGCTCTGATAGGCCTGCTATCCCCTGATCGCGGAAGCGATCCCAACCCGATTGATGATCGGTTTCAATTGTGGCACTCGCCACTCCTACATCTGAAGCACGCACAAAGCCAAACTTCCGTGACCACATGACACACTGGGACACAAAGTCCGTTGAGGCGTACCAACTGATGGTTTGCCTAGTTCGCAGGAGCGATCTTACCCGATTGAGAATCGGCCGCGAGTCGTGGCACTCAACTACTCCTCATCTCGGAGCACGCACACAGCATCGCT